GCAGATAAGCAAGGATTAGGGCATTCGGTGTTTTCGATAGAAATCATGTCTAAAATTTCCATCGTTAAGTGTACTTATCGACGACGAAACTCAGTTTTCTTAGAATTGTATTTAACTTTGGTGCGACAAAGAATCATCAGCAACATGAGACCCTATTTTCATCAAGTTCTTTTGTTAGTAATCATCCCTGACTCAAGCCACTCTTCAACCTTTCGAATTAGTGCCCTTAATCCGAGCTTCAATCTTGCATTTAGTCTATTTATATCGAACTTGACTCTTTGTTCAGGCACGTCATGTACTTAGGCATTACTTATGTAGTACTGAGAGTAAGGCCCGAAAAAAAAGTCAGGCCCATATGGGATTTGATCTTTGCGATACCGGTGCAGTGCTCTACCAACTGAGCTAACAAGCCATCAGGGAGCTGATCATTATGTTGGCTGGTATTAAACCCGTCGAATTGGTCAATCAATGATTTGAATATATGAAAATCATACGTCTACTGCGGTCTTAAGAAATGCATTTCAATCAATGTCATTACTTATTTAATCAACATTTATATTTTCATTGGCAAAGAGCAACTTAAAGATACATCATGCTTGAAGATTGTCTTCCTACACAGTTGTCGCTCTCACTGAAGCTAAACCTTGTTTTCCAAAGACACTTAAAAGAGGACGGCTCTCGTTTTAAGATTGTTATATATGATTGTGATTGTAATTTCGATTGTGATTGCGATTGTGATTAAGTGATTGCTAACGCGTGGTTATGCAACTATAGTGATTCGATTGCACTTCATCGTATCTTGATTTCACATTGCAAAGGTCAGTAACTCAGAAATGTTCAGCAGGCAACCGTGGACGATACTCCTACGTTGGATCAGCGATGATGTGATCGGCCCAAAATAACGAATATTAAATATAGATATAGAGGCAAGACCGATACAACGTAGATAAGTTAATTTTAAGACGGAGCACTATATTTCGGCTGGCCAAACCAGCCTTCTTCAGGTGCAGTGGGAATTAACAGAGAATTGAGGTGATGCTTCGTAGAAAGCTGTATGATGTAACAGCGGAAATATGTAAAACTAATTTGATTGACAATGAGATAACAATAAAATAGAAATAGTGAGCAAAAATAGAAATGAAGTAAGGTAAATTGGATAAAAGTATTAATTTCTAGTTATTTATCCAATTTACCTTACTTCATTTCTATTTTTATTGTTATCTCATTGTCAATCAAATTAGTTTTACATATTTCCGCTGTTACAACATACAGCTATCTACGAAGCATCACCCCAATTCTCTGTTAATTCCCACTGCACCTGAAGAAGGCTGGTTTGGCCAGCCGAAATATAGTGCTCCGTCTTAAAATTAACTTATCTACGTTGTATCGGTCTTGCCTCTATATCTATATTTAATATTCGTTATTTTGGGCCGATCACATCATCGCTGATCCAACGTAGGAGTATCGTCCACGGTTGCCTGCTGAACATTTCTGAGTTACTGACCTTTGCAATGTGAAATCAAGATACGATGAAGTGCAATCGAATCACTATAGTTGCATAACCACGCGTTAGCAATCACTTAATCACAATCGCAATCACAATCGCAATCACAATCGCAATTACAATCACAATCATATATAACAATCTTAAAACGAGAGCCGTCCTCTTTTAAGTGTCTTTAGAAAACAAGGTTTAGCTTCAGAGANTTTCAATCAATGTCATTACTTATTTAATCAACATTTATATTTTCATTGGCAAAGAGCAACTTAAAGATACATCATGCTTGAAGATTGTCTTCCTACACAATTGGCGCTCTCTCTGAAGCTAAACCTTGTTTTCTAAAGACACTTAAAAGAGGACGGCTCTCGTTTTAAGATTGTTATATATGATTGTGATTGTAATTGCGATTGTGATTGCGATTGTGATTGCGATTGTGATTAAGTGATTGCTAACGCGTGGTTATGCAACTATAGTGATTCGATTGCACTTCATCCTATCTTGATTTCACATTACAAAGGTCAGTAACTCAGAAACTGATCACTCAGAAGAAACAAATCTATTGTGGAAGTAACTGCCTTAGCGTAAGCCGACACTGATGAGCTTATTGGCAAGCTTTCCATAACCATTGACGTTGAAGGCCACACCCCCAAAATTGTTATTGGTGGACGCTGAACGGAAATACGGCGACTGAGTATCTGAACGCCAATTGCCACACCTTTTATAATTGTTACCAGCGTACCCGGAAATCATAAAGCCATGGAAGTAAGGACCATGGCAGATCAACAACTGGTAGGAATACGCACTGCTGGTTCCCACGCCATCCCACAATCCATAGGAAGCAGCATCGTTCCCATAACTCATAGCGGCCGTTATAACACCTTGACTACGGCGGGTGAAGTAAGCCTTGTTATCGTTTTGATGATCGATAAAAATTATTTCTGTAAACTAATGACAAAGAAAATATCATTCAGAGTGGAGCACATTGAGTGTTGTAAAACCAGACCAAAGTTATTATAACGATCGATCAGAAGAAAGGAAAATATCCTGAAGAGCCAGTAAGAACTCAAAGTAAAAACAAGTTCACCGCCTAGAGCACGGGATTAGAATTAGTTTTGCATCGTTTGGTTGAGAGACTAGCGGGAGTTTTCTTTTGACGCACCAATCACAGGGCGAAATAAAGAAAAATCAATGTAACCCAGCATTAATTTCGACACTCAGTGAAAATTCCTCCATTAGAAATTGAGTAGTGAGTCAGTAGATCACCGCAGCTGAGGAACGACCAACCAAATAAATTGTTTATTGAAACAAGTCCCCTCGTAATTTAAGTGTTTTTGTGCAGACCAAACCTGGAACATACTCCGAGCAGTTATATATCACCGAGAATAATTCACAAACCCTTCCCAGACCATTGAAGGGTATTAGTAAAGGCCACATGATCAACTTACCGGAATATTGTTACAGTCGGTTCTGTAGCCGTCACTTCCATAAGGAAACTGAGCGTTATACGTGACTTCGGTTTTAGGTGTCACATACTGTATGGTAGTGTAACACATGGTCCACCCTCCACCGTATGACGTCATGTCACAGTAGGCCTGGAATGCATTTGTATGACTTCCTCCATCCGGGTCCAACCAGTACATACCATCGTTTGGAGAATCCACTCGCTTTTTCATATCTTCACAGTCTACTCCTGGAGCTGGTTAAAAAAACGAGGGTCATTACATTACCGCTAGTGGACAAATCGCTCGATCCACAAAAAAAGTAGCACGTAGCACATGTATTTTCTGTATCAAACCTAGGACGAAATGCCTACTCAGAAGAATGCCTCTCAAAATTCAAATGATCACCTCCGTTCTTCAATGAATCTTCGCTCGCCGACATGACATGCAAAGTAGATAACCTCGCTCTGCTACCAGAAAATATTATCAACACTTATTTTTTAATTCCTAATCCTTTTTTTTAATTAACTCCGAACGAAATCTAAATTATCTGATTGACCTTCGAAAAATGACCTAGTCCTGGTGACCTCGAAAATTGGCTTTGTATTATATAGTAGAAAAATTCTCACCATATTGTGAGAATACGTACACCGACACCTGTTCATAAATCCTTTTGTCTCTTATAATTCCCTGCACTTCCCCCTCACCTAACCCCGATTTGTTTGAAAGTTAAAAAAAACTTGCTAATGTCTACGATCAAACATAATTTGGAGAACAGATACACAAACTCGTATAGACTATATAATTCACGCAATCCTTCAGGCGGGAATACCGTTTTCCTTCAGACGCACTTTTCATTTTTTATCTTGTAGGTTGAAACCAAATCATGTAATTTTCAACAGGATATATATACCTATTTCGCAGTGCTTTCCCATAAAGACTGTGGAGCATATGCACTCATATTCGTCATCTCTGTACTTGGCCACACAAGTTGCACTGTTTAAACAAGGATTGCTGGAGCATGGACTCTGTTGATGGAATAATTTGGAAATATCAACAAAGTTGA